GAGCGTCCACATACGGCCAGCAGTGAATGACCACGTCTCTGATCCGTAAGTCATCACTGGCAACACGCACTGGTTGTACACTTTAGTTTTCAGAGATTGAGGTATACCTGACGAGAAGATGTGTCGTAATTTCCCGAACGCTGCCCAGCCGAGTTGAATCAGTAGATTGACCTCTCGGTCGAAGTTGGACTTACCTAGTCGGACTATTTGTCCCAAGTAAACATACTCGTCAACAACTTCGAGCTTAGTGCTCCAAACAACTACAGGCATAGGTGTGACATGAACATTACACATGATCTTTGTTTTATCCATGTTCATCTTAAGACCTATTTGTTGGGAGACACCATCGAGGTCATTGAGCATAGTGCTAAGGTCCTCCAGGGATTCTGCCATAAGGACTATATCATCGGAAAATCGAAGGTAAGTGATGTACTCGCCATTGATGGTAATACCGTATCCTTTCCAGTCCAGTAGCTTGAAAACGTCTTCCAATGCAGCAGTGAAGAGTTTCGGGGATATAACGTCACCCTGTCGTACACCTCTCTGCAGTTGGATAGGATTCGAACTCTGGTTCTGTATGTATGTGGTCCATGGTACTGAAGCCTTTTCGGAAACCGACTTGTTCGGGAGGCTGGAAGTCGTCGAGTCTGCGTGCGAGACGATTCGTAATGACTCTCGAAAACAGCACGTAAACGCGGCTCAGAAGGGAAATCGGTCTGTAGTTCTTCAAGAGAGCGTTGTCGCCTTTCTTAAAGAACCAAACCACCGCACTTCTGCTCCACGCCTCCGGAGTAGTGCCACCATGGAGGACGGAATTGAAGAGCTTCTGAATGACTTCAAGTACCGGTGTTCCACCCGCTTTCAGAAGCTCCGCTGTAATTCCATCCTCGCCTGCCTGCCGTTTTTAAGGTGCTGGAGAGCCATTCTAATCTCGCTCAGACTGACGTCCGGGATATCATCTGAATAGTGTCGGGTAAGACTTGCTTTTGGATCGTTACTCACACTTGCGTGTTGCTCCAACGATGATGTGTAGAGCTGCCCATAGAACCTCTCAATCTCACTCAAAATCTCAGGTGTCTCGGAAACGATGCTGCCACACTCAGTCTTCAGCTTTGACAGTTGGCTCTTTCTGGCAGACAGATCTCTAGAAAAGACTTTGGAGCCCTGGTTCCGCTCGATCGCTTCTTTAATACGAGCATATTAAATTGCGTAAGTCTCGACGCATGCATTTGGAGATCTGTCTGTTCAGTTGCCTGTATGCTGTCAAATCTGTTGACGATTGCAGCCTCATCTCCCGCCATGAGATTAAGAGTGTGATCGGAGTTTTTGTGTTCTTCTGCGGCAGGTCTTGCAGAACTTAGCTCCAACCGCATGGACAGTTTCCACGAGCTTGTCATTCATATCGTCCACTGCATTGCAATCTTCTAGGCACTGAAAGCGGTTACGTAACTCGAGCTGAAAAGTCTCGGGATTCTGGATCAGAGCACGAGGGGGACGGAGCGTTGACTTCATTAGAAGAGACCTCTCCGACTTAACGTTAAGGTTCAGTGTACCTCTAACCATTCGGTAATAGCTGCCGATTTTCACCCTTGCGATCACTGAGACATCACTGAACAGGTGGCGTCTGGTCGTCACAATGAAGTCAATCTCATTTTTTGTCGAACCGTCGGAGCTCGACCAGGTCCACTTCCTGTGGGGCCGCTTCTGGAAGAAAGAGTTCATCATAAAGAGTCCCTCTTTCTCCATAAAGTCAGCCAGCTGCTGGCCCCTACGGTTCCGTTGCCCTACTCCAAATTTCCCTAACTTCAGCTCACCGCCTTCTCTTGTGCCTAGTTTTGCGTTGAAGTCTCCCATCAACACCGTGTAGTGGGTTTTAGAGGAATGCATGGCTCTAGAAATATCCTCATACATTTCCTCCACCTCCTCATCGGGATGTGCCGAGGTTGGTGCGTAGACCTGTATGACCTACAGCGAATACCGTTTGGTGATTCTGAGTATCAGGTACGCGATCTCGTCGACACACTCCCAATCTTTACAACGTTGTTGACGAGAGACTTGTGGACGATAAATCCGACACCTCCTTGGGACAGATGGTCGCCCTCCCGGTGATAGAACAAGTTGCCGGACTCGAGGATTACCGTGTCCTCCCCCTCTCTTCAGACCTCAGATAATCCAATAATATGCCAGCGCAACTTGTCTACCTCTTCTTCCAGCTCCAGTATCTTCTCGTCAGTCCTCAGGGTGCGTGCGTTATACGTTGCCAGGTCGAGTCGTCGTAGGTGGCAACCGAACCTCCACCGGAGATTCATAGCACCCACTGCCCCGCCGTTACCATGGTCGCCACCGTAGCCAGGAATAGCGGGGCCGCCGGGGGCTGGGGGCCGTTTATTTGCGTCGTTACTCATGGGGGGATATTTGCCATAGTTGCCACGCTTGGCGAGCGGGTTGGCAACCGCAGTTTTTTATTATATTATTGTTGTTATTAGGAAGATGCTGCTGCCAATCTCCTTTTTGTGTCCCTCTGTCGCCTCTTACGACACCCACGGGAAGATATGGGGTAGTGGATATTCTCAACCGCCACTACACAGCCGTGTAGTGCGTTCATGAAATTTAGCGGCTGGGATTAATGTGAACAATTCCTCAGAGTACTTTCCGTGGTAAATGCGAAAGAAAATGCAAAGAGATGCAACATCTCTTCGCAGCGCCAGTGAATCGAGCCAATCACAAAGCACTTGGTCGTCGAAGATTCGAGCCGCTGTGGTTAAGTGGAAGCAGCTGGCACTGGGTTGCCTCAGCCCAGAGATGGGAACAGTATTTCATTTTCAGCCGAACCTGCGCCCTATAAAGTTGCAGGCGATGTGCCGGCATGAAATACCTTCCCACTCTGCTGATAACGCTCAGCTTTTTAGAGGCAGAGATCTTTTCAAAGTGTCGCCGCCGAGGATTCCGATACTGGCTGAGGCAATAAGGGGAGTGCATTGAAACCAAGTAATTATTATGTAATGTTGTAATACACAAATCAGCATTAAAATCTGTGAGTAAATAATAAATCACCCCTATTTTCCCACCCGTAGGGTAATTTTTTTTCCAAATCTATATGGGACTAATTTAGAGGTTATACCCTATCCCTATCCAATAAAAAAATAAGTATCAAAATCGGACCACTCAGTAATAAATCACCCTTATTTTTCCACCCTTAGGGTAATATTTTTTTTCCAAATTTATATGGAACCAATTTCGAGGTATCCACTAAAAGAAGAATTATCAAAATCGGACTACTCTGTAAAAAGTTATGAATGGTCATACATAAAAAATATTTTTTTATATACGCGTGGACTTGAGAAACTCCTCCTTTTTTTCGTCGATTGAAAAAAATTCTAAATTTTTGAGTGATTTTAATTGTACAGCAAAAAAATCAAATTTAGCTCCAAGTGTCTAGTTTTCAGATCTTGCCATGAAAATGTTTCATCATGTTTGGTACTGTAGCGATCCTAAGGAAATTACTGTAAAAAATATCCAAAGTTTTGCTCATCCTAAAAAAGATCTACGGGCTTCAGAATTTTTTTTTATTATTAAAAAGCTCTTTTAGGAAATTTAATACCCTTCAATTTAACGTAATCAAAAAGCCTGTACGATGATTTGCCACGGAGTTATCGTCAATCAAAGCAAAAAGTTCTTTTTTCCTTCGATAATCAATAACGAACTAGGTAAAAACACTTCATTTTATTTCATTTAGGGAATATAAGCAAAGTAATTTTTATCAACTTTAATATAATGGATTTCCGAAAAGTGACGCCTGATTCTATTAATTATTAATTAAATAATACAATTTTAAAGATCAATATATAATTTAAAATTTTCAGTTTTAACAAAGTAATATCATCAATTACTGCAGTGCTTGAACTTAAGTTGATTTCAACCATAAAAGGTAAAAAAATGAGGTAAAGCAAGCACCCTTCCATTTCGCTACAATTGACTCATAGTTTGCACATAATAAATTCAATTCACTACTAATAATTAAAGTATGATTTATAATAACCACATTAATGTTTGCCAACTATGAATTACATTATTAATTACTCATAAACATTGCATGATCATGATGAGCAGAGATATATAATATATATTATATAGATAACATTCAAGCACTTAAGCATAAATTGTAATCAATTGTTCATAATGAGGTCAATTAGAGAACTTCACTAAACTAAATTCATAACATACAATCAAAGACAATGACATTAAATAGTAGGTAATTAGCCCAATGTGGACAAAAATGTTTATAATTACTGTGTTCTAATTCGTATAAATTAAATGTATGTATTTTACACTTTCATTGTTTTTTAAATTTTGTGCATACTCATTTTTTTTCTTATTTATTGTTCTTACACAAGCATTATAGTTGAACCATATTTGCAGTGCCTTATAGTATACTGTGGCTGTTTACCCAACCAATAAGAATGGAAACTATGGCAAATATCCCCACAATGAGGCAGTTTATGGGGAGGGCAATATTCAGCGTGATTTGATAGGGTAATAAATCATTATTTTATCAAAAGAGAATGAATGAATGTATTATTCAATAAACTGAGTTATACCTTGATATATACCAATAAACAGAAAAGTATTTTCTTTACGAATTTGACAAACACAAACATATGTAAAGTGATAATTGAAACCTCACTTACAAATAGATAGAAATGTTGAAAAAAACAAACAGAGTAGTGGCCGTGTAAGAATATCTACTACTAAATATTATCCTAAATATTATTAGAGGAAAATAAATCAGGAGATGGGCAGCAGCTGCTATTTAATAACAACTAAAAATAAAAAAAACTGCAGTTGCCAACCCGTATGCCAAGCGTGGCAACTATGAAAAACAAGGGAATCTATAGGGGAGGCCTATGTTCAGCAGTAGACTTTACTAGTAATAAACAAACATAAATATTGGCTTATTGTTTTGAGTATTGAGTGTGGTAATTATTACGTAGGAAACTTACTTTGACAGATAGGAAGGCTATCACAAGGGCGGCAACATCACTTAACATATGAAATGAGTCAGCAACCAGCGCCATAGAGTTGGTCACATAGCCCACAATCAACTCCACAAAGAAAAATGTGCCAGTTAACCATAGCATTGACAGCAACCGGCATTTCTTTCCACCAAACTTCCCCATAATGTCTGTTGGAAAAGAAAAAGGAATTTATTAGATCTGGCTAATGACCGAATCACATTAAAGTGAAGAATGTTTCATTGAGATTTTTAGGTTTAGTAAGCAATTATTATAAGAGTAAAAACCATTAGCAATAAAATTGATGAATTTAATTTATTAATGAAATTAACTTTCTAGTTAAGTGGTAAGTTTAAAATCATACTCTAGAAGTAATATTTCAAAAGCAGTCAAGTTAAACACAATGATAGCTATATAATATCTAACAACTCTAATAAATAACTAAAATTTCAAACATTAACCATATTTGGAAAAAATTAACAAATAATATTTATCACATTGTAAGCAACATGAAAGAAAATTGAGTAAGTATTAATAAACAACAATAGCCTAAAGGTTAAAGTGGTTAATAACATTAGTGAGGATTACAGAAACACAAATATATCACATCTTCTTAGAGGTAGGACAGATTGTAGGTTAAGCTAGATGTAGAATATTTGATTGGTAATGAGGGACATCATCAAATGTTCCACCATTGTTTTGTCACCAATCCAACTGCCAGTGTTTACTAAAAAGCGTGATTACGAAATATATAGGTTTGTGGCAAATCCTCCAAACAGTGGGAAGTTCATGACCAGCAGAAAACATTTATAGCCTGATAAAGAATGACAATCATCAAACAAAAAAAAAAACTAACTCTTGTATAATAAACAATATAATATATCATGTACTCACATAAGTATTAAAAAACTTTGAAATAATTCCAAGGGTTATAACAGCAATCCGTATCCATCAAGAATTCATAGGTCAACAAGTACACGAATAATGCACACTTATTTTACGGGAACACACCGATACCCAATTACAATATTGATTTAACACCTTTTTCTGGACACGAGCGCGAATTACCTCCGATAGCTGGTAAGGTAAACATTTAACAAAGTTACGTAAATTGAAAACAAAACCTTTTTACTCTTAATTGATGAATTCCCTACTTAAAAATGCGATAAAAAATTTCACATAGAAGTAATCGACGTACGAGATTTAATACGATGATTTTTATACACAATAAAAAAACAGATTTTGATTTTCCAGTAATATTTTAAAAATAACAATATTTCAAAGCATAATTATTAAAACTGTGATGAATTTTACTCCCATTCCTATACCAGCTAAAACTAAAATCAGTATAATAATCTTGATTCGATTTCGATTTGACCACAGTAACAATACGTCTATACTCTATACTCTATACAAACTGTCAAAACAAGTTAAGAGTATGGAAAGAAGACGTAAAGAGTACAGGCTCTGTATAAAAAAGTGTCCGTAGGAAAGCGCTAAAAAAGGGTGGCGTCACTGTATTTAAAGAACTTTTTATAATTTTTTTATTGCACAGACTTTCACCATAATTCTATTTACAATAATTATTTTATTGCTTTCAAAATTTTTATTTTCAAAATCACTCTTAATGTATTTTACGGCGATTTATCATACCCCGTAGCTATTCGAGCGCTGTTGTGGAGAGTTTTTGAACTGTTATTTACGGCTTATGGATGGACACATTTTCAACTATCGTCCTATGGGAGATTGTCCTTCTTACGTCTATACTCCATGGTTAAGAGATAGAAGTGAAGCAGATTTACCTTAACAGGAAAAAACAGGTTTTAAAAATAACAGATTCTAACTTTTGTGTCTAAAGCTGAATAAATGTACCCGTTCCACAAGCAATTAATGTTTAAAAAAAATCTAGAACAGCATCGAACAAGTTTTTGTACGTTTTCGTTTTGCTTCGGGAGGTTACCATAGCTAGCTACATATCTATTTATCTATGGGTTACCTAAGAAAAAAAAAAGACCTGTAACGCTAACTTGTTTCCGTGAAATGCCTGTTTTCACATTCACATTCAAACAAATATTCTAATATCAGAATTTAAAGATTGAAATTAAAAACTGATTGATAATTGCATCATCATTCAGCCTTTTAAAAGTCTACTGACTATAAGCCTTCCCAAGGAATGTCATAAAGGAATATTCATACTCAATATATCGCCGATAACAAAACACAGCTATCTAATAACGATAATAAACATACTTAAGGAAAAAGCTTTGTCTGTTCCTTAAGGTTGTTTTAGGTAGGTAGGTATCTTGATTCTATTCGGGTAATCATTTTCAGAAAATTTATTAGTATCTTATCTATCCATGTTTGGGAACGACACTTTCATATAACGGCAGGCATGTGTGTATTGACAATTCTGATATGGGCTCGATCGTTGTACACCCTAGATTACCCCTGGAGTGAACGCTTAGGGGTGTTCATTTATCTAAAATATTCACGATGAATTTACGCTTTGTTTTGAATATTCAAAGAGCTGTATTAGCTCAAAGACTACGCTACGCTAGTACTTTTTTCTAGTTTGTGTTCAAGGACTAAGCACTCACTTCACACGAGAAACCCGGGTTCTATTTCCACCAGCACCACAGAATTTTTTTAATATGTGCTGATGTACTACGCTCGGCAATGAAAGAAAATATCGTTAGGAATCCTGACGTCTTTTCAATTGAAAAAATATTTCGAAAACGTGTGAAGTCAGATTCAGAGAAACAGAGTCCCATTAGGGTGCTCGGTGGACATATACTTGCCCTAAAACCCTTTAGAAATTAAAGTAGGTTTGTGCTCAGCAGTGGAGCGTATGGCTGTAACTTTTTGGACATTCATACATGCCGTAGCCACTTATGAATAGTACCTGCCCTTTTGAACATTCGTACTTGCCGTGGCCACTTATGGACGTACCAAACCATCGGTCCATCTCACTAGTCACCACCATTTTTTTAAGGAGAGAGGGAAAACTAGCGTACGGTTCACCTGATGTTAAGTGACTACCGCCGTCAATGAACAACTGCAACACCAGGGGAATTGCAGGTGTGTTGCCGGCCTTTTAGAAAGGCGTAAGCTCTTTTCTTGAAAGTCCCTAGGCCATATCGGTCCGGAAAAATCGCCGGTGGTAAAATATTCCACAGAGAGGTCGTGCGCGGAAGAAAACCCCTAGTGAAACGTACAGTGGTGAACCGCCAAGCATCTAGATGGTGTGGATGGTATCGGGAGGTTTGCCGCGTAGTGTGTTCATGAACAATTCCTCAAAGTACTCCCCGTGATAGATGCGATAAAATACGCAGAGACGCAACACCTCCTCGCGGTGCCAGTGAATCCAGCCGATCGGAAAGCACTTGGTTGTCGACGAATCGTGCCGCTATGCGATGGATGCGGTCGAGTGGAAGGAGCTGGAACTGGGGAGCCCTAGCCCAGAGATGGGAACAGTATTCCATGTGAAGCTGAACCTGTGCCTTGTAATGTTGCAGGCGGTGTGCCGGCATGAAATACTGTCCCGCTCTGCTGAGCACGCCAAGCTTTTTAGAGGCCAATTTGGCCTTCTCTTCCCATTGACCATGAAACTGCACGTCACTTGATATGACGATGCCGAGAACTCCAATACTGGCTGAGGCAACAAGAAGATAGCATCGAAACCGAGGAGATACGACAAGGACGTTCTTTTTAGCGGTTAACGCGCAAACTTGTGTATTCTGAGGGTTAAACTGGACTAGATTTAGTCGCCCCCAATCCGAGACTTTGTTCAGCAAAGACTCAACTTCAGACACAAGTTTGTCCCGGTAGTCGGAGATGTTTTCCCGAGAAATATTGGCACGGCCGGTGTACAGAGCATCACCAGTGCTGTCATCTGCATAGCAATTAATGTTACTGGTTTGCACACATAATTGATATGCAGAAGAAACAACGTTGGTGACAGCACGCAGCCTTGTGGAACGCCAGTATTAATAGGCTTGCAATCGAAGCATGCACCGTTTACAACGATCTTGATGCCCCGATCTTGTTGTTGTCGTGATCCAATTGCACCATTTCTCGGGAAGTCCATAGGAAGGGAACTTCGAAAGAAGCGCTTTGTGCCAAACCTGATCGAGCGCCTTCGCAATGTTCAAACTAACGGCTAATGCCTCCCCCTTGGATTCTGCTGCCTCCGCCTATCGAAGAGTCAGATAGACCAGAAGATCGCCAGCTGATCGACCCCGACGAAAACCGTATTAGCCATTACTAATCACCATGGCCAAGGTATTTGTAAATTTGCTTAACGTTTAACTTAGTAAATATCTCGTGCTGCACGACAGTTTATATTTAGTTGTGTACTGTCTGCGGAAAATGCTATCCTGTGCTTTAAGCACACTATCAAGTATTACATGCACGAAAAAGCACCGGTGTTCGCGTGTTTAATCTCCTTGTTAAAAGTTTTGGATCCAGACGCTTCTGACGTAGTGTGGGCCAAGTTGAGGTACACTGGTTCGGCGGTTGAATGTATATCATTGTTTCAGTTCTTGTATGACAGAACCTGGAACCTAGGAACCAGATAAACCAGGTAGAATATGCTGAAAACTTGTGTGACAAATATAAATTAGAGCATACTTTTAACTTTTATTTCCAACAAATTCTCAATCGTTTTTGTTTAACAATTCATGGTTCAAAGCATAGACTTATTTCAGACTGACGTTAGAATGAATTGACAATGCAAAAAAGAAATAGATAGTTTATGTGTATGCAAGAGGGAGTAGGATAGGCGAGACCATTCACGTACCACACTTCACTTTTTAAGCACACCTTTCATTGATGGCAAACGTAGCCACGATATTTCAATATTTATTTAATTTTCGCGAGCACTTAGATGTCGCGCAATAAGCTATCATGTTAGCTTTTATGTTACTTCATGTAGCCTTTCGCAAAAAAGCACAACGCTTATAAAAATATCTAATTACTCAAAATATGATGAATAGTTTGTTAAGATTTAAAACATATACATTAGTTTTAAATAAACAATATAAGAAAATATTAATAGAGGTTTTATTTCATAGTTTTACAATAACGAGACAATCAACAAGTGAACGTTACTAAGATCCCTTTTTCTTTTTAATATTTCGTATATCTTCTTAACATTCGCCTTCCTT